AGATGTATTTCTCAACTGGACATTGGGTCACTCTGCCACCTGTCACCTTGCCTATGCATTTTATTTGAAGGAAATCTATTGTAGCAAATGAGAATAAAACCTGGGCTTCTTTAGACCCAGAATTGGAAAATTAAAGATTTTGTGCTGTTTTCGATGTTTAATTTAAATGCATATTAAAAATGTTTTGGGCACACTCAAAAATCTATATACTCATTCTAGGGAATAAGAGAACACTGCACATTCTCACATGACTACAACTCTGTAGAAACTCAGTCCAAGTCATGTCCACGGCTACAATGTCAATACACAAAAACTTTCCAAGTCAAATGATTTCTGCAATCTACTTCTGGTTAGCCTACATTTCAACCAACAGTTAAAAAAAATAAAATGATTTTTTAAAAATCAAAAAACCCTAAGAATTACAGAAAAGGCCTTCCAGATCATTTCATAACGGAATCTGTCCTGGAGTCACAGATCTCACCCCTGAATCTTCAGCTAGATGGAATTCAGCTAAGGAGTTAAATATTTATACCCTAAAGCAGCAGACACTATTATCCAAACAAGACTGAACATAAATGTATAATCCCTAATTACAATACGAAATCATGGAAGACAGCCATTGCCACTGTTTAGTTATGTGGTGCTATTAATTTTAATAAAATGATTCATTTCGTTCTTCAAATTGCCCAAAGTAGGGAGAATGAATAAAAATAATCCCTTTTGAAAATGAGTGAACTGCAGTAATCAAGTAGAAATAGCAGCCGAATGCCAATGAGTACAAAGCTAATTTTTCAATTTAAATCCTTTGAATTCTAAGAGCGAAAGATCTTAAAATGGCAAGTTTAAATCACGGCATCCCTGCTGGAGGAGAAACCCCGTCTGTTCAGAAGGCTCTCCATCCTTGGAGGGGCTGTACGGTCAAACCACTACCACATACAGTGGCTATAAAAGCTGGAGCTGGCATCTTAGCTTTCGGGACCTCGGGCTTTGACACGAGCTTTGTCACACTAAAAGATTCTCACTAAAGGACTCCTCTACTACATGTAGCCAGTTTTCATCCTGAGAGCAAGCCCTGGGGTACCCTGCTATAGGACTCATTGAAAGCCAGCTCTGCCTCACCTGTCACCCACTTCATAAACCAGTAGAGGCGCACTTTGTGATGAAGCTGGTTTGAATTGTATTTCTGTCACTTATAACCAAAAACATCACAACAAATAAAACATGCATGGACAAATTTTACAGTTATCACCAGAGCAGCGTGCAATTTCAGACAGTTTTCACTTAACTCATAATTCTTAATGCTCTTAACATAAAATAGCATTAATCATTTTTCATGTTGCTCTAAATCCTCCTATCTAGAACTGATTAGTAATAGATCTCATAATTTAAGTGAGTACATGTTTAAATCATTTTCATTTACCTCAGGTTAAGTATTAACAAGAGAAAACATCTTGGGACCAGCAGATGGCACAATGGTTATGTTGCTGGACTCTCACATGTGACCGACCACAGTTTGAGTCCCAGAAATTTGAAACTCGCGCCAGGCATGTGTGTGTGCATGCCCAAAATCCTGAGAAGAGAGTGAAGGAGAAGGGACTGCAGCATGGCCATCCCCCATGGTTGTGATTTCTCTGTCTGCCTGTCTCTCTGGCAAGCACACACACCCTATAGCAAAAATCTCTCAAAAAGAGGAAGGGAAAACATCTTATTGACTGAACACTACTAACTCCTTTACAACAGAGTCTATAATAGTATAGTCCTAGTGATTTTTGTTTGTTTGTTTGTCTTTTTAGTAAAAAGACAAGGTAGTTTATTGAGTAAAAGCAAAAATACACTCCTGAGAGGCAGGAGTGGGCCTAAGCAGATAAAGAGTGACTCAAAGGCCCAGCTCTTACATTTTGAGAAGTTTATAATTGTTTAATCTAGGCTGTGTCAGCTGATTATTGGCTGGGCCCACTAACTGTCCTTATCTCACTGGCTCTATCAAATGTGGCTGGGCCCACTGACTTATCTCATTGGCTGTGTCAAATGTGGCTTCATCAGCTAGACACCCCCTACTGGAAATATCCGGCCTACAGGACCCTGGGCAGGGAATTTTCTGCCCTGTATCCCAGCTGCTCCCTTGCCGAGCGCTACTCAAAGCAAGGCCTACAGCCCAATAATATCCACAAATAATATACAGAAATTGGAAGCATTTTGAAATGTCCACAGTGATTGACTGCTGCCACAATACCTAAGAGAATGATTGTTTTCTTTGCAATTCATGTTTCATTACATTTAGCAAGTTACTGGCTCACAATACTGGAGATAAAAAGGTTTACACTGGCTTTTCCAGCACAGATCGCCTGAGAAGCTCTGGACTATGCCTCTCTCTCTCTCCAGCCAGAAAGGGTTGCCAGCCTGCAAACCTGAGGCTTTGGAATCCCCCAAAGGCCTAGGATTTGTGCACCTACATATTATCTATGACTTAGTACACGGCACTAACTCTTTCTCCTCCAACATCCTACCCTAAAAAGCAAGATACCTGCCCCATCACTCCCTGATTTTGCTAAAGAATTTCTCAACACAGCCTGCACTTAATTCCACTTCCTTACCCTCCAAACCACACCTCTACTCTCCGTTCTCTCAGGAAGTCATCAGCCACCTGTAATGAACACTGCCACTGCGGCCTCTCACCCCCCACCTCCCGCATAGCTTTCCATGCTTTTATCACCCCCAGAGCCTGGTTCTCTCTGGTCTCCAGCTACTTCAGGTTGGTTTGTTTTGTTTTGTTTAGTTTCTCTTTCTTTACTTTCTACCCCCAAAACATGTTTTCTCATAAAGCTTCACCCTTGGACCTGCTCTCCAACACATTCTTTCTAGTAGGTATTATCTGCTACTATCTTTGATCACCAGCTAAAATAACTCCAAATCCGTACTTCTATTCCTAGCCTTTTGAGCTCCAATCCTCATTCCCAGATACCACCTGAACAAACTCCGTCTGAGTTTGTTTCATAGCATGAAAGACTTCAAAAGCATCTTCTCATCATATATTTCTATCAATAGAGAGTTCCTATATTCCTTAACCAATTCAATATTTTGGAGACTCAAGTATCTCTTGGCTATATCTCTAATACTCAGGACCCCTTTTCCCACATTACCACAGTCCAGGCCTTCATCATCTTTCTCTGAAATCACTTACTCATTGATTTTTTTTCAGCTCACGTCAGACAATACGGGAAAAGCATTGACCACAACAGCCATAGTCTGCTCTCACCGAGTTGATGATACTAAGAGGATGCCCTGAGTCTGTCCTGACCTCTCACCTGACCGCCTTTCCTCATACCTGGGCTTTTCTACACTCATACTACCACTAGATTAGATGCAGGCACTTTCCATTCAGAATCCTTGGCAAGTTCCCATTACACACAGAAGGGCCGTCCTATTTAAAGCTCACACAACCCAATCCTGATGTACCTTATCACTTTTTTCTCTCTCATTGCACTTAGAATCTTTTTTAGACAAAGGTTCCAACCCCAAAATACACTGGCCTTCTGTCAACTCAGTCTTTGCTGAGACTTCTCCCAGACTTCCCCCGACTTGAATCTTTTCTTTTCCCCACCTCCGGTTTTTCCAGTCCACTAAGCTCCAGTTAAAATGCCACTTCCAATTAAGCAGTTTCCTTAAATTTCCCCAGGGGAATTACATACCATCTTCTGCTGGGCCTGACACTTTCTCTGTGCTTCTCACACTCTGCCTTGAAATACATGGTCCCAGCACTTGTATGCGTCACTCTCATTCTTCGTCCACTAGAGACTCTGAGTGGTCTGAAGAAGGGTAACTCCATTTGTGTCCAATTCCCCACATCTAACATGGCCTTGTGCAGAGAAATCTGCTCAGTCTTTGCATCGCTAAAACCACAGCTTGAAACTTTAGAAGCAGCCGTAGTCAAATGCCCTTACGTGGCCACATCTATTGGAACATGTATTGGAAAATGACCACTAGATCATCATCTCCTGTTTGTTGGCCAGGTACCTGTTCAATGGGATCAGTGTATAAAGAAATACAGTTACGCATCACTTAACAACAGGGATACATTCAATGCAATGTGTCACTAGGTGGTTTTGCCATTTTGTAAACATCATTCTTACACAAACCTAGATGGAACAGCCTACTACACACCTAGGCCATATGATAGAGCCTGTGTGCTCCTAATGAGACCACCACCACAATGCAGCCCGTCACTGACTGAAACTGCTATGTGGCACACACAAGTGTAAAACGAATCAAAATAAATCCAGTTGGGATGAAGAGCAGAAAGAGAGCAGGCTGGACCTTAAGTATGTACTATCTTCTTACATCAAATTTTCAGTCAAATGATAAGGGAATGATTTCGATTATAAAGCTCTTAAGTCCGATAGGACCAGCAGTTAGCCTAACGGCTATGTCACTGGACTCCCATGTAGTCGACCGCGGTTCGAGTCCCGGACCTGGCAGCTTAAACTCACGGCGAGCACGTGTGCATACGTGCCCAAGACCCCAAGAGAAGGGACTGTGGCATGGCCATCCACCAGGGGGTGATTTCTCGCTTTCTGTCTCTCTGTCTCTCTCTGTCTTTTGGCAAGCGCATGTGCTCTATAGCAACGACCTCTCCCCCCAAAAAAAGAAAAAAAAAAAAAAAAACTCTTAAGTCCAAAATGTAGAGAATCACCAATGTAACATGTATGTCAATAAGATCACAATGTCCACTCATCTCTACATAAACAATACAAGAATACACCTAGGACCGAAATTCATAACCGCTCATTCAGGAAATTCTGTTGGAAGGAATGCTCACATATGTATGGGAAGAGGTTGTAAAAAGATTCTAAAGTTGGGGCCGCCACCTCAAATGTTAAACGTGCTATAGAGCAGGGCTGGCAAACCACAGTCCACAGAGCGAATCTAATCCACCACCTGATTTTATACAGAATGGCTTTTACCATTTTAAATGGTTGGGAAACAAAGGCAAAAGACGAATATCTGGCAACACAAACTTTAATGCACACAAATAAAATTTTATTAAAACACAGCCACGATCACTCATTTATACATTGTTTATGGCTGCTTCAGTTCTACAATGGAGAGCTGAGGAGCTGGGACAGAGACCGTATGGCCTTTAAAGAAAGACCAAGACAGTTACTCTCTGGCCTTTGCAGAAGTCTGCCAACCCTAGCTACAGAAAAAATAACAGCAACCTCCCAGAAAAAGATTATTTATGTGAAAACACTGACCATTTTTTGTGAGAAAAGTTTTCAAGGCACCTCTGATTACAAACTGTAGAAATAAAATGAAAGAGCAATCAACTTCCAACCATGATGGTGGAACAGAGATCAGATTTATCCGATCTTAGGAAATTAAAATCAGCACTAAATATATGACGTGACTGTTTGCAGACATTTTACATCAGGCGGCGCAGTGCTACGATCTCTCGTGGAAGGGAAACAGATAAGGTAAACAGAAGACTGTCTTGTTTTCCTGCCTGGTGGGACATTCCAGACTGCAAAAGAGATGAGAAATTCCAAGCGGGGTTGAAAAAATAAGACACTGGAGATAAGGATGTTTGAAGCAGCTCGAAGTTACACTACAAAGTTCTGGAAGGGAGGAAGCCAAACAGAAAAAGAACTCTAAAAATATGCAGGATGTTGGGCTGGCCCCATAGTCTAGTGGTTAAGGGAGGGATCTGGGTCTCACATGGCCAACCATGATTCAAATCCCAGCACTGGCAGCCTGAAGTACCCACTGAGTGCTTATGTGTGTTCTCCCTCTCTGTCTAACAAACACATATGCCCTATATAGCTATATAGAAAGAGGGCGCATGAGTAAGAGTGACAGATGATGAGTTTTTGCTGAATATTAAGATACATATGTGGGGTCAGCAAGTGGCATGGTGGTTAAGGCACTGAACTCCCACATGATCAACTGTGGTTCAAGTCCTGGACCTGGTGGTTTACTTTGTCACTTCATGTGCCCTACAGCAAATTAAAAAATAATGATGATGATAAATAAATAATTCTCTTTTTTAAAAAGATACAAATGTAAAAGATACAACACCAGAAGGCTAGGCAAAAAATGACCCAGAAGCTGTGAACAGAACGGTTCCCCAGAGCTTACACAGAGTTGGGAGTTCCCACAAGCCAAATTGCAGAGTCCATTTGATCATGTAGGCCATTAAATAGAGATCCCAAAAGGGCCATATTTTAGTAGTAAAGTTAACTGCCGCAGAAAAAAAGCACGAAATTGCATTAAGCTTAAAAAGAAGACTTGAAAGAATCAAAATAAACTGCAAATAAATTAAGTCACTACCCAAAACTCAAAACTCTTCAATTGAAGATAAAATCTATATACCTAAAAATGTAAGATACACAATGTCCACCATCCAACCAAAACTTACTAGACATGTGAAAAAGCAGGAAAAGATGACTCATAACTAGAGAAAATCAGTCAACAGAAGCAAACCAAAAAAAATTATAAGATGATGAGATCAGCAAAGACATTTAAACACCTATATAACCATGTTCAAATACTCAAAAGTGGTCTTTCTCAATCAAGGTTCTGTAAGAGATTAGTCTTACAAAAAGTTATCTGAGTGACTTTTTTCTCAATTCTCCCAAGAATGGATTCACAGCTAGTACTATTCTAGATGCATAGGTGAGAAATTAATTCATAATACACAACAGATAAGGAGTTAGGGCTCAATTCTCTGAGAACCTAGCTGTTAAAAGCTGGGTAAGAGAAATATATGGGAACCGGACATTGGCACAATAGTAACGCAATGCTCATCAAGGCTGACTCACATGGGAAGGTTCTCAGTTTGCACCTGGAGACCTCCCTGAATACAATGAGTGCATGTGTATCCACCGTGACTGGAGGTCACTGAAGTTGAGAGTGGGCTGCAATGTGAAGACCCTATTGGAGATGCCTGCTTCCTTCCTTCCCTTTTTTTCTGTCACAGGAAAGAAACCTAAAAAGAAAGAAAGAAAAGAAAAGAAAAGAAAAAAGAATTGGAGTACATAAATATAATGAGGAGAGAAAACACAATCTATTAAAATAATCCAAATAGAATGGTTAGAAAATAAAAACAAAGAATGTGAGATGAAATTCATTGAACAGAATTAATAGATTAAGTAACTACAGAATAGAGAACTTGAAGATATAATAAAAACAGGATCCAAAGAGAGAAAGAAGAAAAGGAAACTGAAATAAAATTTGAGAGGTTTTCCATTGTTGGTTATTATGTAAGTAGTCCCTTGTCTCTGAAGTTACCAATGACAAATCACTTTCCAACTGAAAGTACTACCAAGCACATGTGATAGGTGCTAAGTTATCAAAAGCCACAGGATAAATGTGGTATCTTTCTGGGCAATAATTTTACTAGCAGACTTGAAAGATATATTAATGTATAATTCCATATTATGGAATACAATGTAAAACTACACACACACACACACACAATTTTTATGAGTCTTCAAAGAAGTGTACTGTGTGCTTTGCTTCAGCTGTTTTACACTTCCTCCTCAGACGAGTACATGTGTGTGGATTCGGTCTCCCTTCTCCTCCACAGTTGGTGCTTTGTCAGGACCACTTCAATAGAAGTTTAAGAAAAGCTGACTTAAGGAAAACATTCAAGAAATCACTAAAAATACCAAACGATTTCACATCAAGTTCACCTGCCGTGTGCCTAATGTTAACTTTTAGATTCAAACCCTAAGACATTGCTGAGAAAACACCCAGAGTTACTAAGATAAGTTTTTCTACCACTCATTCCCTCCAAGAAAAACCACTAAAATAACAAAGTGAGTAATCAAGCATTATCTTGTGATAACAGACCAGTTTTAATTCTAGCACCTGAAGCTATACAAGGGTATGTTTCATAAACCGCATGGGGACTGTTGTACACATTCAATAAAGTGACAGCTGTGCAGTACCACTGAGTATCTCAGACTCAGGAACAGACTTCTGAATTGTTTAAACACAATCCACAGAATTAAAACAAAATCAAAAGCCACCCACAGGTATACTAACTGTCCGTCAAAAGCTTTACACTTGATACTTGATACAACGGTCAATATCTAGTAGGGATACTGGAAGTCATTCAGGAGTCTCATCCAGATGCACTCTATGGGAAGGTTTCTTGAATAGGTATGACTGGCCAAAGGTGGGTCCAACCAGGACCAGACCAGCAAGAGACAGTTGGACCACAGTTTCTGTAGTTTCCACATCTTTTTTGTCAGTTAAAAGTGAACAGTGAGAATTAAATACTTATCTTTACATATACACAGGTATGCTGTGAAAGCATATTTGCTTACAAACATATAAAAATACTTGTTAACTAGTTTGATAAGAAAATAATGTATAAAAGTATATTGCAAAAACATTAATCATCTCTGACCCTGGAAAGATCAATTCCATATTTTATATTACATCGAACAAAAACAGTTTTAGTTGTTTTTTTTTTTTTGAATCCCTTATCCAGAAATATTTGAAAAGGAAGACAGACGCAAATCATTCATCTTTACTTTTAACATGGCTGTGAAAAAAGTTAAATTAAAAAAAAATCAAGTACACTGAAATGCCTAAGTTCAAAATGAGTCCAGATATTTGGCCACATAGAATAGGATCATCTTCAAGAGTAGAAGTAATAACAAAGGCTTTATATGCAGTTTTTAATCCATTAAAACAAGAGGCGTTTTGGTATTTTGGCTGTTGGAAAACAAAAGCTGTAGCATCAGCAAAGGTCTGAGACGGCTCGCTTTTGTATATTCAATTCAGTGTATTTCAGGTTAACTAGAGTGGACATGAACATTTGTAAAGGTAGGCAAAAATTCACATTAAAAAAAAACAACCAAAAACCTAACCTCCCTATATGTTTCTATGTAGAGCAACATGATTCCAGAAGTTAAAAATTATTTCACAACCTGACTTCAGCTTGGCAAACAGCTCAGGTTCCAAAACTGATTCATCTCTATTAAAACGTAAGCCCTTAAAAAAAGAACGTGTCTGTGTATCTACACATATATTTTAAAGGAATCAGATCATCTTTGAAGCAGCCTTAGTGTTTCCTTAAAAGGTGTCTGGAAATGACCATTGTATCAGCTTCACGGAAAGGATTAGCCAGCTTCTTGGTCTAAGGCTAACACGGTGATCATTTGTCTAAGGCTAGGAAGGTACCAACATGATGTAAACTGTAAGGACACAGGGAGGTGAGGGCTTTTCCTGGCAGTTGGTAGCTAAAACTCAAGGGATTCTTAGAAAATGACACAGTGGCAGCCTTTCTTGTCTTTCTCTTTCCGAGTTGGTTCTGGTGAAGGAGGACATTCCCTCTCCCGAAAATTTCTG